TTTTCGGATGAGCAAGAATAATCCCAGCCCAAAAACTCGAAGAAACCTCCAAACCACAATTTTGGAAAAAAAAATCGAATCTTGTATTAGACTAAACACAAACAAAGGATTGTTATTAGTAGGAGCATTACTTCTAGGCTAAAACCTGAACTATCGTATAGAACACCTCATGAATCACAAACGGCTACGTCATCGATGAGAAAAATGTTGCCGAGAATCAAATTATAAACGTTAAGCGAAATTTATTCAAGAGACGCGTTTGCATACGATTTCGAGCCTTGGTCAGTGAGAAGTCAGCGAACAGTGATACCGTCTCCACTAAAACCTTAACGAGAATGGAACAATTATTGTCATCCCTCCATGACTGTTCCCTCTTTGAAAGTACCTTTCAAAAAATAAATGATCACGTTGCGTCATGGATTTCATTACCTCTTCCGTATTGCTTCTACTGTAAACGTCTTCTGAGAGGCTGTGACTAACCCAAAATGTAGATCAATCAATTCATCTAATACCTATCAGCAGGTAGCAATTATCATCTTACCATAATACACCTATTAAATTTGAAACACCAAGAGACCACGAACTTTCTACAGTAGAGTATTTCATATATTCTGATCATGATGTTGATACAGGGAATGGCTTACGGCGCTCTGGACAAAACCAAGTTTAGAATAAATCAGGCTGACACTGGTTCGGAGATAAAACATGATGCGATCGGGTATGTGACACACGGGTGTGACAACGACTCAATATCACAATTAACCTTCGACAAATCGGTCTCGCAACAGTATTCCTGCGACAGACCGTGTCTGGTGCATGTCTCCAACCCAGTAAAACCTGCGCATTTTTCGTGCATACTGTAAGAGAGAGCAAGTAAATTATCAATCAATAGCTTGTAATCGATTGGTCAGGCAGTTCCCGATGCTCTATGTTTTAGATCTCGGCGCTGATATCAAGCTGGGAGGAAGGACTGGAGGAGCGCCAGAGGATTATTGAACGGAGCGACTGGACTAGCGGACGGTGTGTCCGTCTTCAGAACTGTTTATTCTTTTCTGCCCATCGTACTTCTCATGTCATAAATCTTATTAGTAATTTGTGATGTACGCACGCTGCATTTACTGGTAGCAGCGAGTGGTTTCGATCCACCGACCTCTGGGTTATGGGCCCAGCACGCTTCCACTGCGGGCTATTGGGCTGCAAAAGCGGGCGCT